CAGGAGGAAGCGATGGGGAGGCGGAGCAGCGACTATGAGACCCTCAAGAACTCCTTTGTCGAAGCCTCCCTGTCGGTTGTCATGAGGCTGTTCCCACCGCTACAGGGGAAGGTAGGCAGGTAGACTGTGTGCTAGTGGCAACAAACCTCTTGGTGCCATTTCCTTGTCTTTTGGGGAGGGAAACAAAGCCCGGAGACAGCGAAGCTCAGGGAAGGGCAGGGAACCACGCAGGCAGACAGCTCAGCCAGGGAGATCAGAAAAGGGAGGACGTGAGGATCTCACAAGGCCCCGCTCCCACCCTTTGGCTGCCTTTTTTGTCTCCTCAGGTGGACAGTGTGGCCAGAGGGTCCCCACTGACCTACCAGTTCTATCTGGCTGCTCCCCAGGGTGCCTGCTATGGGGCGGACTATGACCTGGACTGCCTCCATCCTCACGTGATGGCCTCCATGAGGGCCCAAAGCCCCATTCCCAACCTCTACCTGACAGGTACACGAACTGCCCCATTCCCCCAGGGCCTGAGACCCTGGGCTTCCCTGTCACCCCAAGTACTCTGTTCTGTTCTCAGGTCCTACTGTCCCTTACAGCCTTCCACATGGGGATGGGCTGCCCCAGCAGGCTGTGGCCCCTGGTCCCGATCTAAAGTCATCTCTGGGTGCCCTAGCTTGGAGGGATGAACATAAGGAGCCCTCGCCCCCACCCCCTGTGAAGGATGCTCATGGGCCTCTGCCCTTGTCCCCTAGGCCAGGATATCTTCACCTGTGGGTTGGTGGGGGCCTTGTAAGGGGCCATGCTGTGTAGCAGCGCCATCCTGAAGTGGAACTTGTACCTAGACCTTAAGAAGCTTTATTCAAGGATCTAGGCACAGAAGAATTAGTTCAGTAAGCAATGAGTTTGAGGAATCTCACCGGACCTATGGCACAGCCCTGGATGTAGCCATAACGTCTTTCTGTACTGGTTCCCTCCTCACATAAAACACTCTAATTTGTTTCTGATTTCTGACTAGAGGTCTGACACACAGGTCACAGTTCTTAGATTACAGTTCTCAAGCTGTGGCTCTTCCAGCTGGGCAGGTGGTGAGCTCTCAGACCTGTAACGTGTTGTCCCTAAAAGGCCCGGTGTGGGCCAGTGACTTGGACAGCCTGTCTTGTCAAGCAGTGCTTTGCATACCACACTCCCATACCTCCCAACTCCGAGCAGTCAGAAGTCAAGTATCCTTTTGGTCAGGTGGATGGAACCTTCAGTGTTGGCCAGCTGAAGCAGCTTGGTCCAGCTGTCTCGAGGCTTCTCCTCTTCCATTCTCCACACTGCACTGCAGCAGCTCCACACTACTCCTCGAGGATAAAGGGTGCCTGAAGAGGTTTTTGTCAAAACCTGGGCATGGTTTTACTTGTAGTTCCATAGGTTCAGAGGCCCCCAGATCCCATTTTTGTTGGTTCCAAGGGCTCTTTCGGAGGGTGGGGAAATGCCTAGGGTAGGCTCAGTGTGGTTGACTGAAGACATTAGTCAGCCAAGTATATGTTAGAATATCCAATTCATATACAGACAGGCCCTAGGTTGGTCTTCCTTATTTCCAAGGTGACACTGGGTCTTCACTGGGCCAGCACCAAGATACCCTCATGGAGCTCAGTACTGAGCCTCAAGGTTTATCTTCCAAAAATCCACAGCAAAGGGTGACATTAGCAGCTGGGGCACAGGACTGAAAAGATGACTTCACTGGGGTTGAAGCAGGCTGAAAGAGCATTCCCGGCCAAGGGTATAGTAGAGGACAATCACAGAGTTAACTGTAAGACAAATCAGCCATCAGCCAGCTACCTCCTAGACCCAGAACACGGGCTGCCTGGTAGGAAGGAGTGGGGCTGGAAATCAGGATCAGAATGTGGAAAGCTACAGAATGTTTGCAGAGGCCTGGGATGGTGTTCCTGTTTATTGGTACATATGTAGGGATTAGATGGGAAGGTGAACAAAGGCTTTTTCACTTATATCAGACCTTATTTCTGTCAATCTTATTACCATTTTAATAAATTTAATGATTTTATAGCTTTAATATTTGAAGTTTATTTTGGTTTCTGTGCAATGATACAAAACTACATTGAAATGGCATTCAAAGAAGCTCAGTAAAACATGTACTGAAAAATACTTATCATTAGACCAAATAAGCTTTAAAAAAATAAAAGTAATTATATAGTTAAGTTAAAGCTGAAAATATAAAACATTGCAAAAACAGTGGCACTCTACTAACTGGGTAAACAAAAAAGGGAAACACATTCAACAATCATTTATTAACATGAGAAACTTCTGAATTAAAGGAATATCTACGAGTGTGAGGAGGCCGGCTTTGTTGGCAGCCTAAAACTACACAGCTCAGACCTAACACCGTTACAGAGGAGTTTCTCAACTGGGACATTTAGGAAAGTCACACGTGACTTGTGGGACTAGCTGAGTTGAGATTCAGTCTTTCTCTGGACGAACAGTTAAATGGAACCTCAAAATCTCTTCCCAGGCCTCTTCCTTAAACAAGGCAGTGTCAAAGGCAACCTTCCCAGCAAGATTTTTCAGAAAACAGCTGGCCAAACTACAGGGTCTGGTGTATGGTGTCTAAAATACTCTCCTCCCTGTTCAAATGATTCAGAACATGTGCAAAGCGTGCTAGCTTTCATCACATATAAATAACAGCATTATGTATCAAGTTACCCTGTAAAAACAAGGAGCAGGCTTCCTTTTTGTGATTTAAATGACATGAAGTAGAGAAAAACACGAGAATCACCATCAGGGGAATTATAGAGGTTTAAAATTCTATCACCAAATGTTTCATTAAAAGCCATCATGGGAAAAGAAATGTCAGCATATATATATATAGCTAGTTGTCAGGTCTTTCCGAGTTGTTACAGCCTTTCTAGATAGACTGGCCTTCACTCCCCTCTGAGTCCAGAAGTGGATTCTTTATTTATTTATTTATTTTTAATTTTATTGTTATGTTAATCACCATCCATTACATCATTAGTTTTTGATGCAGAAGTGGATTCTTTAAATAATTCTACTCAGTAATCTGAGATCAGCTATTCGATTTCCATTTTTTCTTTGCAGAGGGGAAACAAACCCCTCTATTGACATCCATGACTAAAGCATCGATTCCTCCTAATAGAGATCACCCTGCAACCAAAAGCTGGGGCAGGAAAGCAAGCACACAGTTGTGTGGATAGGGGTGCTTCTCATAGCTCCATGAGCTTCCCTGCCCACCCCCCCCCCCAAGAGATGCCTTAGCCAGCTCATCCTCCTCCACATCATCTCTAGAAAACAGGCTTCCAATAGTTTATCTTCAAAAGGACAACTACGGAGAAAACAAGTTTTCCACTGGTGTGAGAGATTTCCTTCAGTGTAATTTCTAAAGTGAAACTTAAATTCTATCATACTTCTTTAGCACAAGATACAATACTTCTCGGATGCTCAAAAAATGGAACTATGTGGACTCCACAGAATACTTATTTTGCATCCACTTGATGCAAACCACCTCTTGGTTCCTGAAACCAACCTTTCTGCTCTCCTCCCTACAAGCAAAATCCATCAAAAAGGGACAGCAACCAGAAGCCAGGAAGAGCTGTGTGAGACACCTAAGTCACATTCATATGTTCTGAACAAAGAAAATGTCTCCTTGACACTGAACTCCTGAAGAAGTACCTAGGGAATGTCACTATGGTGTAGGCAGGTATGCAGATGGTGCCAAGGGCACCCCTGCAAGCAGCTTAGTTTTTTTTTTTTTGGACCAGATAGAGACATCAGATAATTTCTGCCCCCCTTTTTTTTTTTTTGCTGGAGTCGCAAAATTTGTGACTGGCATTATGAAGAGTTATAGAGTAGAATGGAAAGAGCCAATCCTGTGTGGTGGGGGCAGTGAAGAAGGTGCCTGGAAAAACCTGAGCTGGGCCCTGAAGGAACATTTGGGGGAGACAGGTGAGAGAAGAGAAGGGAGTGCACCCTAACCAAAGGGAAGCCAGGGAATGGAGGACACAGCAAGAACAAAAAGGCACAGAAGCCTAGATGGGCTTGACAAGAGGAGCCTCTGGGCTGGATAGGATGCAGATCTACAGAGGCCTGAACGCTGGAGTCTATAAAAGCTTGATTCTCTAAGCCACGAGAGGTAGACAGGGGAACCATGATTTTATGGAATGCTAGGAGAGCCTGACAGAAAATTCCCTAGACAAAGGAAAGCATTATAAGGTTGGTGCACAGGTAGAGAGAATGATGCCAAGAGCATTCATTCATTCCTTATCTCCGTAAATCTCAAGTCAAAGCCATGCTCTGTTTTAAGCAAGGTACAAGATAATGTGACAACAGGCTGGTCCCTTCTACAGACTGGCTTCCTCAACAGCACAGAATTCACCCCACTGCCCTCACTTCCCACATTCTTTGTATCTCCCTGAGATCAGCTATTCGATTTCCATTTTTTCTTTGCAAAAACAACTCTCTCTAGGCTATAATAGGGTAGCACAACTAGAGCAGATTTAAGGAAAACTTCAAACCAGAGCAGGATCCAAGACACTACCTCAGCTACCCCTGAATTTCTTAAATTTTAATAACGTCTGACATGGAATGGAAAGAGAATTTTTACTAATTACCCTTGGCATTTTATATCAGATGAGAGAACCATTTACTAGATTAAGGTAAAAGAGAGTACAGTTAGTTTCTGATTACAAGTCTATTTTAGGCAACGAAGGCAATGCAGAGTTTATGGGAAACCTTCCATAAAAGCCCTTTGAAATAATGCAGATCAAAACCAAAACCGTCCCGCACATCTTATGCGAAGCCTGAGCTTACCCTATTTTAAAAAGTTTGTTACAATTATGAGTGTAGAAGAACAAAGTATTTCAATAATCATAACTGTATTTTTAAAAAAATCTCTAATGGGAACCATGGCTTTACAACTTTACTCCCAGAACCCCAAGTTCAGTTAGTACAACCAAATGTAAGTTGACTTTGTCTTAATATGAAAATATCGGAAAAATGTGAAGGACTTATGCTAGACAGGTTGGACTTACAGACAGTAAAGCACTTTTTAAAAGCTGTTTTGGTTTGCTGCTGGAGCCTCTGAAGAGAGTTATGTGTTAAAGTAGCCCTGTGTCCGTCAGCATTCACCTCTTCATCTTTTGTAAAGGGCACATCCCCCCAAAGTAAGAGGCCTTGATACAAGAGCACCTCATCCTGCAGAGAGTTTTCCTAGGTCTACAAAGATAAATAGTGGTGGGCACAATGCTCTTTTCAAGGGATAACTACTAAATGGCCAACGCCCTAGGGAAGGCAGTCAGCAGCAGTAGCCTGCCTGGGGCTGAGATCTCCCTTTGGTCACAGCTGGCTTCCCACATGCTCTCTCTATTCACAATCAGAGGAGGAAAGGATGGAAGACACCAGCAGAGATAATGGGGACACAGGCGTACAAGGTCACCAAAGTGCAGGTGCAAAAATCAAAAGAATTCCCCCGCCTCTGCCAGCCCAGACTTGCCACCAAATCCTAGAGGAGGGGGTGTCTCTTAGGTCACAGTACTTTTTTTCTTCATTTCTCTCGATTTAAAAACAAATCAGCAGGGAGGACAAAGTTCTCAAGAATGGAAAAATCAAATCTGAAACGAGAGCAACACAATTCATTGGTATCATTAATCTCCTTCCAGAGCAATATACCTCACTGCTATGCATTTAGGAGAAAAAAGATCTTACTGGGGTGCCTGGGTGGGGTGCCTGGGTGGCTTAACCTGGTGGTTAAGCATCTGCCTTCGGCTCAGGTCATGATTCTGAGGTCCTGGCATCCAGCCCTGCATCAGGCTCCCTGCTCAGTGTGAAGCCTGCTTCTCCCTCTCCCTCTGCCCTCTTCCCCCTGCTCATGCTCTGTCTCTCAAATAAATAAATAAAATCTTAAAAAAAAAGTCAGTTTGAAATCAAACATACACTAGAATGATGCACACTTGGTGGAAGGAATATAGGAATCTTGGCTTCTGCTTTGTACCATTCTGTGTTGTTTTGAATTGTTTACATGCGCATTTTTTAATTAGAAAAAAAATAAAAAGGGAAATAAATGCTTAAAGTCAATTATCTGGAAAGGTACTAGGCCAGGGCTAAATTGTGAAGCTGACCTACTGGGCTAGTTAGCAAAGGTGTTCTGAGTGGCTTATTCTGTTGCTGGCATGAACTGTACACGTGAACTGTGTTCTCTGTAGGAAGTCTTGGAACAACTCACAGGCCACCAACCACTTTTTGCCAATGTCCTGACTGTCCCCACACAGAAGGGGAAAGGAGGGGTGCATGCTGGCAGCAAAAGGCAGTGGAAGTACCCTGTTCTCACGTAGACAGGCTGCCTCTGGGGAGTCTTGCTCAGCTCCTGCACTGTGGGGCGGAAGGAAGCCTCTGCTTTCTGGCAGGCCTGGGTCGGCCGCACTCAGGAAACCTAGTCCATGGTGCTACGGGCTGATCTGGGGAGTTGGAGGCCTTTATGTTTCTGGACTCATTTGTACGCAGGGAGTGTAGTCTAATGCTTCGCTACCTGACGCATCATTCCTCAGCATTTGGCATCACCTAGGAACTTCCTAGAAATGTAGAAACATAGATTCCAACCGATATGTAATGATTCAGATTTTGCTTTTTCATCACAATTCCCAGGGTGGCTAATGTGCCTACTAAAATTTGTGAAGTGCTGGTTCAGTGCAAAAAGCACAGGACAGGTGCCCAAGGACTTGCCATCAGGTCTTGATTTTGCCACAAACTTGTAGTAGGAACTTCGGGGGGAAAAAGCATGTTTCTGGGCCTGACTTTCCTCATCTGTTGAGGGAAGGAGCTGATGTAGAACACATGAAGGCCTCTTCTAGCTCTCATGTTGCAGACATGTATATAATGGATGTCTCTGCTTTGTGGTTCGCAAAGGGTGGGGCAATGGCGGCAGCACCCCCAGAATCAGCTGCTGTCTCTCTGTCAAATGCAAGCACACTGCTGGGCCTGAGACTGCATATCCCTCCCGCACACCTGGGGCTCCCTTCCTTACCTTCTGGTCCAAACGCTGGTAATCACTGGCCTTTGGGCGCCGAGTGACTTTAGATCTTTTTCCTTCTAGGACAAAAGCAATAATCTGGGGAAAGGAAAAAGAAATTAACAGGTAATTCTACAATAGCATATTTCAGTCTCTAAAATCAGAGGTTACCACCTAGTATTGCATTTGTTAATGACCCTGACAGTGAAAGAGCAGTACAACCACAAAGAGGCCTCTTTAAATTATAAGTTTTCAGGAGGACAGGGCCTCCAGTTACATCAGAATCTTTTATACTGCCAAACAGGAAATGACAGATGAAGGATGACTGTTCTGGGCTTTAGCTTATGGGAGTCTGTGTGATTTACTCAAGAGCACAAAGATCTGCCAACTGCGCCCCAGACAGCTCTAGGATAAGACGTTCCTTTTTTACTTGCAAGCAATAATTATTTCCTATCTGCAAATGTACTTTTTCTCCCCACACCTTGTTTCATTTTAACCTTACCACTTTCACATCTGAGGTTCCTGTGTGATGAGCACTTGGATGTGGAATAAGGAACACACCATTCTTATTAAATGTCTTCCCTCATTCCTCACAGCCATAGGCATACTGACATCATGAATTGAACTTTCCAATTTTAACCAGGCTATAGAAACTACTAAATTCTTAGAGCTCAATAAGAAATGCAATCATTTTGTCATCAGAGTGGTTGCTAAGCAACACAGATATTACTCCACACCAAACCCTGCTATAAGATGAGTGTATCCATGCAATTTCTGGCCATTCTTCTAATCAGAAACTCAACTGATTGTAGAAGATAGTTCCTGGGCTCTCTGCTGTTGATGTCAAAGACTATGTAACCACCCTTTCTGCCACTGCAGATGGAAGATAAAAGCTTGGGAAAGGAAACTAGAGATGATGCACGATCTTCAGAGTGTAAACAGGAAGATAAGTACTCTACTTACAAACTGTCAGGTACTCAGGTTCTCTGAGGCAGTAAACGATCTAAGTTTAAGATTATGGGAGAAGACCCCAATTTAGGTCAGATCATAATAATGTCCTCACTTGGCACCTAATATAGCAGCAGAGGGTACTCAAAGGAATCTGACATGAAAGATGATGATTTATAAAATGAGAGTAAAGAGCCCTAGCAGAATCTGAGGAAAAACTGAAGTTTGTCTTAAAATCCCCAGTGCTCACAGGCAGATGATTGAGAGATACTGGCCCCCACACCAAGCTTTCAGGGTGGAGGAAATCCCATTCCTCTTCTTAAGGCAATTCTTGACTTACCTTCCGTTTGTTGTGATAGGCAACGTAGAGGACAGCAACAAGAATGGCTGCAGTCACCAGATAGGCAAAGAAGTGGCTGCTCTCTGCACTAGCACTTCCAAGATTGTTCTTAAAAAGGTCATCATTCTGTCTACCCATGGAATCCAAAAGTGTCCCTTCACGGTTCTCACTGGAGGCAAGGCCAGGCATTTCTTTCTCTCCTTCGGATGGTGAATCTTCTTCAGGCTCTGTATCCCCTTCCTCAGCCTTCTTGGGATCCACATCTGTAAGCTCTGAAGACTTGCCTTCTCTCTCCTGCTGTGGAGAAGTGGGTTTCGAGTCTAGTAATACTCTCTCCCCAGATTCACTTCTAAAAGCATACAGAGAGCTATCTTTGTCAGCTGGTATGTTTAAGTCAGGCTTGGTGGGCTCCTTGTTACCAGAGGAGGGGTTGGAGACCAGCTTGTCAGGGCCTTCTCCCGTGGACTGTGGCTGGGATTTCTCCTTGTCAGGGCCTTCTCCCGTGGACTGTGGCCGGGATTTCTCCTTGTCAGGGCCTTCTCCCGTGGACTGTGGCCGGGATTTCTCTTTGTCAGGGCCTTCTCCCGTGGACTGTGGCCGGGACTTCTCCTTGTCAGGGCCATCTCCCGTGGACTGCGGCTGGGATTTCTCCTTGTCAGGGCCATCTCCCGTGGACTGCGGCTGGGATTTCTCCTTGTCAGGGCCTTCTCCCGTGGAACTTCTCCTTGTCAGGGCCATCTCCCGTGGACTGTGGCCGGGATTTCTCCTTGTCAGGGCCTTCTCCCGTGGACTGCGGCTGGGATTTCTCCTTGTCAGGGCCTTCTCCCGTGGACTGCGGCTGGGATTTCTCCTTGTCAGGGCCATCTCCCATGGACTGTGGCTGGAATTTCTCCTTGTCAGGGCCATCTCCCATGGACTGCGGCTGGGATTTCTCCTTGTCAGGGCCATCTCCCGTGGATTGCGGCTCGGGCTTCCCCTTGTCAGGGCCATCTCCCGTGGACTGCGGCTGGGATTTCTCCTTGTCAGGGCCTCCACCCGTGGACTGCGGCTCAGGCTTCCCCTTGTCACGGCCATCTCCCGTGGACTGTGGCCGGGATTTCTCCTTGTCAGGGCCATCTCCCGTGGACTGTGGCCGGGATTTCTCCTTGTCAGGGCCTTCTCCCATGGACTGTGGCTGGGATTTCTCCTTGTCAGGGCCTTCTCCTGTGGACTGCAGCCGGGATTTCTCCTTGTCAGGGCCTTCTCCCGTGGACTGCGGCTGGGATTTCTCCTCGTCAGGGCCTTCTCCAGTGGACTGCGGCTGGGATTTCTCCTTGTCAGGGCCTTCTCCCGTGGACTGCAGCCGGGATTTCTCCTTGTCAGGGCCTTCTCCCAGGGACTGCAGCTCCGGCTTCCCCTTGTGAGGGCCTTCTCCCGTGGACTGTGGCTCGGCCTTCCGCTTGTTAGGGTCGTCTCCTGTGGACTGCAGCCGGGATTTCTCCTTGTCAGGGCCTTCTCCCGTGGACTGCAGCTCGGCCGTCTTGTCAGGGTCGTCTCCCGTGGACTGCGGCTGGGATTTCTCCTTGGCAGGGTCGTCTCCCGTGGACTGCGGCTCGGCCTTCCCCTTGTCAGGGCTGTCTGCCGTGGATTGCACCTTTAACTTGCCAGACTGTTCTTGTGCTGGGAACACTGAAATAGAGAAACCAGTTGGTACTGAAGAAAGGATGGCCAGGAGAAGGGAGCCCTCAGAGCTAGAAGAGACCGAGGCAACAAGCAAACGGGAGAGGTGAGTGATGGCAAGCGGAGGGGTGGCTATGGCAGGGAAGAAACAAGTTCAGAGAGCGACCCGGCCGCGGTGAGGATGGTGGGCCTGAGGGTGAGAGTAGGATCATCGGGGGTGGGGAGGGGTTTTACCCGCCGCTGCGACGCTCAGCAGGACCAACGCAACCAGGAACCGCATCCTGCACTGACTGTGCTTCCGCCCTCCACTGTTCTCGCGAGATCCGTCCGCGCACTCTTAGTGTTCATAGCTCCGCCCCTTCCTGCGCGCGTCTTTCCGCCGCACGCCCAGGCGAGGGGAGGGGCTTAGGAAAGGGCCGGATTGGACGGTGTTTCAGACCTTTCGCTTCGGCTGTGGCAGCGTTCTTCAGTGCAGGCGTCGAACAGCTTCTTTCTTTTCCAGGTTTCTTCGCTGCGTAGCCGCCGCCACAAACGTCACTCCATTTTACCTTCTTTTCCCTTGTACTTCCGAGACAGCTTTGGCAGAGCCAGAGCTCCCTGGCCGACGGATGGCCCCACGGGATTGAGGTCGCTGGGACCCGGCTCCTCGGCTCCATCATCTGCTCACATTTTTAAATTTCTCCCTTTCTCGTTTTTCTTTGCTCGTAGCTCACAAACGTGTTGAGCTCAGGTCTCTCCGATCTGGAAACAAAAACTCGTCCCGTCGCCTCTGTAGCGGGAGCCTTTCCATTCCAGTTTCTCTTTCCCGACCCCACGGGGACTGCCCTCCGAGGTCCGCCAAAGATCTTTTCTAAAAAGTGTATCCTTTTTCTGGTCATGAAAGTTATTCATATTCATGTAGAAGATTTAGTGAACGTATTTATAGAAATAGAAAACAAAATATCCCACTCTTCCGGGATAATCACTATTAAAGTTTTAGTGCGTTTTCTGTCTTGCAAACATTTTAATATTTTCGATTTGGTAATACATCCTAGTGGTTCAGAAGTCAAAATGAGATTTTTTTTAAGAAGTATACATCAGAAAGTTCTTGCTCCCTGCCATTCTACAGGTTACCACTTAGTTTATTGTGTTTCTATGTAGTGTTTTATTTATTTTCTAGTGGTTTTTTTTTTTTTTAAGGTTTTATTTATTTGAGAGACACACACAGAGAGCACCAGCAGGCGGACGGAGAGGGACAAGCCGACTCGTGGCTGAGCCGGGAGCCCAACATGGGGATTGATCCCAGTACCCCGGGATCATGACCTGAGCTTAAGGCAGACACTTAACCAACTGGTGTTTTTGTTTGTTTTTTAAAAGATTTTATTTATTTATTTTGACAGAGAGACAGCGAGAGAGGGAACACAAGCAGGGGGAGCAGGAGAGGGAGGAGCAGGCTTCCCTCTGAGCAGGGAGCTTGATGTGGGCTCTATCCCAGGACCCTGGGACCATGACCAGAGCCGAAGGCAGACGCTTAACGACTGAGCCACCCAGGCGCCCCTAGTGTTTGTTTGTTTTTTTTAAACAGATACAAATGTACTTATTTGTTCCTCCGACTTTATTGGTGTATTTCTTTGTTCTTTTTCCTATGCATACTCATTTTCCTCCAAATTGGTATCATTGGGTAGTTTTGTATCCCACTGTTTAAAGTGCTGTTAGTTTATACATTAATTGCTGCTTTATTTGTTTTTTATTTTTTAAAGATTTTATTTATTTGAGAGAGAGAATGAGAGCTAGAGAGCACATGAGAGGGGGTGGGGTCAGAGGGAGAAGCAGACTCCCCGCCGAGCAGGGAGCCTGATGCGGGACTGGATCCCGGGACTCCAGGATCATGACCTGAGCTGAAGGCAGTCGCTCAACCAACTGAGCCACCCAGGCGCCCCCAATTGCTGCATTAAATCGTTTTATAATCATTTGCCAGGTTAGCTGCTTTGTAGACTGGTTTTAAAAATGATAGGTCCTAACTTAATGGAGCATGCAATCTAGTGGGGAGCACAAATATTAATCAAATACTTATGCAAATTGTGTGTGTGTGTGGTGCGTGTGTGTCTGTGTGAGTGCACATTCTAAGAAATGCCAAGAAAGCAAAGTGCAGAAACCGTGAGCTCTATTGAGAAAGGGACCTTTGAGCGGAGGAGCAGAGAGTGTAGGTCTTTCCCAGGTGAGGCTGAAGGGAAGAGGATGAGCTCTCCGGGCTGAGTGTACAGCATGTGCAAAGGCCTGGAAGCAGGTGGGAACCTAATATTTTTTGGAAGTCTAAAGATGAGAACAGAATTGCCAGATAACAGAGAATAAGGAAAATGGCAAGGGGTGAGGCTGGAGCAAAGCCAGATTTAAGGAGTAAATGGTCTGGGAGTTGTCCAGAATGTAAGTCTTTGTGCTACACAAAAGTATATCAGAAAATATTCCAGTTATCTCAGGTTGAAATGTAATCCCACCAAAAAGGACTACAGCTGCCAGGGCAAATAACACTTCTCTGTAGTCTGTTGAGTACAATATTTAGGTTACATGTCAGGCAGTTCCAGTCAATTGAAATTCTTCAGAATTTCAAGGAACAGTACGTGGCATTGAGATACAGTTTTCAGGACCCAAGTATTTTGTTTGTTTGTTTTTATTTTTTTTAAAGATTTTATTTATTTGATAGAGACACAGCGAGAGAGGGAACACAAGCAGGGGGAGTGGGAGAGGGAGAAGCAGGCTTCCCGCTGAGCAGGGAGCCCGATGCGGGGCTCCGGGGCTCCATCCCAGGACCCTGGGATCAAGACCCGAGCCGAAGGCAGACGCTTAACGACTGAGCCTCCCAGGCGCCCAGGACCCAAGTATTTTGTCATTTAAAAACCCTTTAATATGCTTCCCAGTGTTTTTCTGTTGTAAGAAAATCTCACACACACCCTCAATACTGAGGAGAGAGTAAGAATCAGAGAAGTAGGGCTTCTGGGTGGCGCAGTGGGTTAAGCGACCAGCTCCTGATTTTGGTTCAGGTTGTGATCTCAGAATGTGATATCAGGGCCTTGAAATCGAACCCCAAGTCAGGCTTCATGCTCAGCAGGGAGTCTGCTCAAGATTCTCTCTCCCACTCCCCTTCACCACCATCCCGGCTTGCGCGCATGCCCGCACTCTCTCTCTTTTAAAAGAAGGATCACAGAGAAATTTTTTACCAGATTAATTCAGAAATGTGATTCTGCTCTGGCTAAAGGATGTGAACTGGTAAATCAATCTGTTTCTGAAAGAAAATTCTCTCCACCTCCCTCAAATAAATATTTGGCTAACATTACAGGATATTGGCTTGGCAGGAGTGTGTGTGTAGGGAAGTGAATAGAATTGTTAAGCTTGACCTGGTGTCCACCTGAGTAGGCAGGAGAGTAGAGAAGTGTTCAAAGCATGCAGAGTTTGGGGGCCATGCCTAAGGGTTTATATTTTATTTAACTGTAATGAGAAGCCAAAAGAGGTTTAAGTAGGGGAAAGATATAATCAAGTTGTGAAATTTTTTTTTTAAGATTTTATTTCTTTATTTGACAGAGCGCAAGAGTGGGAACACAAGCAGGGGGAGGGGGAGAGGGAGAAGCAGGCTTCCTGCTGAGCAGAGCAGGGAGCCCGATGCAGGGCTGGATCCCAGGACCCTGGGATCATGACCTGAGCCGAAGGCAGATGCTTAATGACTGAACCACCCAGGTGCCCCAAGTTGTGAATTTTTGAAGATTAATCTGGTTGTAGGTTGAAGAATCTACTCTTGGAGTGGAGAGAGAAGAGTGGATTTAGGAGTAAATCAGCAGACTGTTTCAACAGTTCAAGTAGGACTAACGCAAGGACAATGAGAATGGAAGGAAAAGTGAGTAGACTCAAGATAAATTTGGGACGTAATACCAGCAGGCCTTGGAGAGGGACTGGATATGGGGGCAAGGGGTGATGGTGAGGAAGGTGTGGCGAGTCAGACTTTGTGGGGATAGGGCATAGAAAATGAATTTGCTTCTGGTGGTATGTTTAAGATGCCTATAAGACAGTCAGATGAAGCAGTCAGAGAGGTAGTTGGAAATGTGAGCACAGCATTCAAAGGTAAATATGGAAACCATTTTCCTAATTAAATATTGTTCAAAAAACATGACTGTTAATGGCTTCATAAAAACATTTATAAGGGGTACCTGGGTGGCTCAGTCAGTTGGGCATCCAACTCATGGTTTCTACTCAGGTCATGACCTCAGGGTCCTGGGATCAAGCTCTGCCTTCGGCTCCACACTCAGCTTGGAGTCTGCTGGAGATTGTCTCCCTTTCCCTCTCCCTCTGCTCCTCCCCCTGCTCTCTCTCTCTCTCAAATAAGTAAATAAAAATTTAAAAATAATAATAAATGAATTTATCATAAATTTTGTCACAGTTCCCTTATTACTGGAGATCTGGATTGTTTTCAGTTTTCTACTGGTAGTAACTATTATTATCAGGTACTGGCTAGGTGCATTTTAAGATGAGGGAGACCCTCAAAAAGATTAAGTAACTTGCTTAAGGCCGTGCTGTTGTCTTACCCAACATTTAATAGCAGTGAGTATTCATCATCTGCCAATTTGGTAGGAGAAAAAGTCCCTAACTGTTATTTAATGTTTATTGCATAAATAGTTTACATGACCTTGGGCAATTTACCTAACTGTGTTAAGTATTAATTTCTTCATTATGAAATGGGAATAAAAGTGTTGAGAATTAGATAATTCATATGGAGTATTTAACCTAGTATCTAGCATATAATTAAGACTTCCCAAAGTTATTATTATTATAATTATATGTTCATTATACAAAAATTTTAAAAATAAGGATAAGCCAAAGTAAGAAAATAAAAATATCTTGTAGTCCAGAGCTATTGTCATGAATATTTTGCTGGTTTTTCCTTTTTTATGGGTGTCTATGTACACATGATAGATTATTAACTGAAAATAAAGCAAGTTACAAAACCATACATACAACTCTTCCCTACAGGTCCTCTTTGTAGTTTCAGTGCTACAACTAGTCATGTCACTTGTCTTCTGGGACACGTTTTCCACTGTTTCTTTACTCAACATCCTTTGAGGGCTTTCAGTTGTCATAGAACTGAGTGTTTCTACGAGGAAAGTGAAATCAACAGACTAAAATATAGCACGGAGTTGAAGTAAGATAAGGAGTTAGATATTTCAGTAGAGTGTTGAGGGCAAAACCTGTATGCAGTGGGATAAGTAGTGAATGGAAGGTAAGTAGTAACTACCTTTTCTGGAAGTTTGCATGTGA